CTCAGCCTGGGTGAAGGGAGGAGGGGACTGGACCTGCCATGATGGAATCTACCAGGCTGAGCTGAATCCCCAGCTGGTGGGAGAGCTGGGGGGGGGGAGGAGGGAGGACAGGGTAATCCATGGCTGATATGTAAATTAAATTAATTATAAAATTAAAACACACACAAAAAACCCTCTACTTTGTATGCTAATTTAAGCAAAACAAAATGTATATATTTATAATTATGTAAACATATATCTTGAAAAGCTGAAATACTTTGATACAAACTTTAAAACATATAAACATTTCTTTTTGCAAAAAAAAAAGAAAGAAAGAAATATCCCAGTATAAGGAAAGTCTTTGAGTGAAATCACTAGGCATCTCTTCAGGACCTTCCCATTCCAGAGCACAAATCCAACATCCAAGAATCACCAGCTGGTGACAGTCAGAGTTCTCTGTTAATATTCTATGATAGAGCCTTAAAGCCATCCCATCTATGTGGATAATACATGTAACATATGCGGCCTCTGAACATGGATGGCTATGAGCAGGCATAGAAACAGAATCTCTCCATTTGCACAATTGAGGGAGCCACCAATCTGAAAAGACAACAGATTAACACCTTAATGCCTGCAGTTCATCTTATCTTCAGCCAGCTAACCTTCCAGATGAGGGGAGGATCATGGCCATTCCACAGATCAAGTTGTCAGTGGTCTGTCAGCATATTTCTGATGCCTGTATCTCTCTTTATCATTACAGGGATGATTCTCTCTTTCTCTAGATGTCTGAGTTGATGGCATTTTTAAAGTGCTCATTCTAGCCACTGTCAACAGCCACTAGCAACATCAGTCTGATATTCCTCCAGGATTCAGTGTGCTGAGGGTGGGAGTTAACTAAGATCTAAGAACCTGCATTACTTTCATTTCCTGTGCTGTAAGTATATACCCCGAGAAAGAGGAGCTAAAGGAAGGAGGGTTAAGCTCATGTTTTCATGCTATAGCCCATCATTGTGAGGAAGTCAATACTTAGGACCTTAAAGTAGTTAGCCATTTCACAATAGACACATAGGATAGTATGAAAAATTTAGTAGGGCCATTGTACCTGGCATAAAGTCTGAAGTCATGATTAACATAAGCTTTGAAATAATCTATTGCAAATAAGCAGCACTTGTTATCTGAGTTCTATGGAGTAGTTTTTCCTGTAGGTGCTCAGAGACATTGCAAGAATTCAGCCACAATACATCCTTGGCAAACCAGGAATTCATGTGATGGCTGAGAATTGTTTGGGAAATGTGTTCTTCAGACAACTCCTAGATCATATCAAAGGATCTGGTATGTGGGAGTTGATTTGCTAAAAGTATGTTTTGTGTAACAATAAATAAATCACTTCTGTGAGGATACTCATGTTTCAATCTGCTGGGATTGTTCCCCTTGATCTTTCAATATTTCTTTTTATACTTGTGTGTTTCCCTTTTTTGGTTATCCTGTGAGCTATGGAAAAATGCTTTTGTATGCTGGATTAATAAAACATTGATTGGCCATTAGCCAGCAGGAAGTATAGGTGGAATAAGCAGACAAGGAGAATCTGGGAAGAGGAAGGGTCAGTCAGGAGATGCGAACCCACAGTCCAGTGAGCAGCATGTAATGGTACACAGATAAAAACCACAGAAAATGTGGCAACATATAGTTTAACAGAAATGGGCTGAGTTTAAGTGTAAGATCTAGTCAGTAGTAAGCTTGAGCTAATGGCTGAGTAGTTTTAATATAAGCCTTAATATAATCCTCTGTGGAACATGAGGAAAGATGAAAGACATGAGGTATGCTCACAAAATTGGCATTGAGCTCCACACAGAAACAAAAGATGGATTATGGCCAGGTGCTGGCACTCTGGAGCTAGACCAGGTGTACTCACTGGGAATTCTCTCACTATTCTGGGTGTGGCAGCATGAACATGGGAAAGATGCCTTTCCCCTACCACTCATCAATGCCCAAAAAGGGTGGGGTAACAGGCCAAGAGGTCACTAGAGTGGGATAACTGTCCATGACCTCTACCAACTATAACATTCAGGAGAACAGGCCATGAATCTCATCAGGGTAGCACAATAGAGCCAACCCTGTTAGCAGAGTTATGGGGAAGACAGCCCTGAAGTTGTAAGAATGGGAGAAGTGTCCTCATTATTATATATATATATACCAGGTCTATCACACCAATATCCAATATCTCACTCCTGGAAACAACTTCTATATTAGTTAGGGTTTCTATTGCTGTGAAGATGTGCTGAGATTATGGAAATGCTTATAAACTAAAGCATTTAATTGAGGGGTTGGCTTACATTTCAGAGGTTCAATCTATTATCCAGGCAGAGCATATGGTGGCATGCAGACAGACATGGTGCTGGCTACATCTTGATCAGAAAGCAGGAGGAAGTGAACTGACACACTGAATCTTTCTTGGGCAAATACAAGATGTCAAAGCCAGCCCTCACAGTGATACACTTCGTCTAATAAGAACACACCTTCTCTAACAAAGCCATAACTTCTAATAGCACCACTTCATTTAGAAGCCATTTTCTTCTAATCCAACACAATTAGGGTTACAATTACTGTAATAAAACATCATGACCAAAGAAACTTTGGGAGGAATTTGTTTATTTAGCTTATGCTTCCACAGTACTGTTCATTATTTAAAAAAAGGTAAGGACAAAAACTCAAATGAGAATACAGGGCTGACGCTGGAGCCATGGATTGGTGCTGCTAACTGGCTCATTTCCATGACATTGCTCAACCTGCTTTCTTATGGAACCCAGTAACAACAACCAAGGGAGAGCACCACCCACCATGGATTGGACATTCCCAGAACTAACTAAAAAAATACATTGCAGTTGAATCTTATGGAGGTATTTCTCAGTTGAATTTCCCTCCATTTAGATGACTTGATGCTGTGTGAAGTGGACATAAAACCAGCCAGGACACAAAAACTCTAGCTTCAGCTCAAGAATGTCTATCCCTGATCATGAACATTCCATAGCTTATATAGAACAGGAAGCATTGCCATAATCTTGTCTATGCAATTATTCCAGGGAGCACTTTTCATGCATGTTCCATAAAAGATTTTTTTTCTGGAACTGACCAAATTTTACAGAAGCTGAAATTACAGGTTTCTAGTGAGAACTGTTTAACCTATAGCAAACAGAATTTTCTGTCCAAGCTAAAAGGAAGTGATGGTCACTTCTAAAAGGAAAAGGGCAGATGTCTACTTAGAACTGAAGAGGTCACATGGAAGTTCACTCCTCCCTAACTCATTCCTCATACTTTCCTTAGTCTGCTTTTCCAAACAAACCAAGATCAACTGCCTGGGGCAGGTGCCTCC